AACAGATAGCCCTCGAATGCTATATAAGCGCACGCAGGGAAGGAAGAAGTACTCACTCAACTGCGCACTGATGATGTCTCCTCGTATGGTGACGAAACGTTTGCAAGCCAATTGCCAAGCTCGGCGAACAGATCAACAGCCACCTGATCAACAACCAATAAACTCACCTGAGCTGCCAATATTTCAACAAACTATCAGGTAAAATTGTCTGCCTACTGTAAGCCTACAGCAATACTGCAATGAGACCACTCGACCGAAAATTTATGTGAACAGTTTTGCTGCCAGTTTCTTCGGACTAGGTGTTTGGAAGTCAGTTGATTGCGTCTAGTTCTGCACGTCATTCTGACAAGATAGATAAATGAGTCAAACATGGTTCAGGCACCATTTGGATGTCTAGACATCTGAACATGACGATTCGTTCAGTTGACCTGAATGGACCTAGAGAACAGAACCAACTGAGTTGTGTGTAATGCTTTCGTACATCATAGAGGAATAAGGTGTTATAAAAGTATAACGTGAACAGCTGGTATAGCTTGGTTTGCTTTTGCAATACTATCAAAATAAGAGATGGGATACATAGACGCTAAAAGTACATTAACCTTGTTTGACTTGAGATTGTGTTTCTGTTGTGGATGTACACTTGTTGATTGAGGCAGGCGGACAAAACCAGTTTATTTCGACTATCTAATAATCGTTCTCTCTAATTTTTATGTGAATCGAAAGTGTGAAAGTTTTATATCAGCATGTCAACGTCACAAACGCTTTTACTAATGAAAAAGACCACTGTAGATCTAAGATACTGTTAGGGACCGCGATGGATGTAGGTACTGACGTATACGCTAAAAAGCGCAAAGCCGAGTAAAAGCTATGTAAATAGATGGTTAATACTTCCATATCATGAAGCTGTTGCAAAAAAATATCGTAGGTACCTAGATGAATGTTGGAGAAAACCTTCTGCAGAGCCTAAAGGGGGGCTGGTCAGACTGTTACATTTCTTGAAGTAAATCAGAGGATGTGCTTAGGTCTACACTCACTTTTAGCTGTTCTAAATAGCTCTTATTCGTTTGTTGTGGGCAACATGATGTCAGGATAAGTTGCCATAAGCTAGGCCAACCGATCAAGTCAGTGATCAGTCTGCTGTCTCGCACATTCAGGCGCAAATGTTGATTAGCTGTGTGTATTTATTCCTGGGATATAAACAGAGACAACCTACATTAGGAAATCCTTAATTTTCTTTGTTAGTCTGAACAAAACAGCAGGAGCATGAGACAGAACTTTATTCTGTTGGAATCCATGACGCTGGGTAGCTGACATTTTCTGTGATCTCTGACAAAAATGGGGCGAGTGCTTTCATAAATTGCACAAATTCCAATTAGTTGGATTAGAAACATTAGAAAATAAATTGGCCTAAGATTTTCAGATGCCTAAAAAACGGACTGGATTTAGTATGTAACCTAATCAAGTTCAAACCAAACGCTTTGTTTTTTTTTATTTTATTTTTTTACAAATGAAGCCTAATTACATAGCACTATTGTTTTAAAATTATTGAAGCCTCATGCTTCGTCTTTGGTGGGCGGTTTCTAACTATGCTGGCGTATATATATGAAGCTCTTTTAAAACCATCCACGTTTCGCCCAATTTTTCCACCGTCCTCCAAATAATTGTCCTAAAATTCAGAGACTGGACTAATCAGTAAACTAAACACTTGATTGTGTATTCAGTTTTTGGTACCACCTATTTTTGGCGTAGATATGGAAAAGATCCTGCCCACCCCAGACGGCAGTGAAAACTGACTTTTTCGCTATACAACACACAATAATGATTTTTATTTTGCTATCAAAAATATGAACTGAAGAGGTTTGTCATTGCATACGAAAATTCCATAGTGTGCTGGTCATCCGCGTTGCACACAGTATTGCGGCTAGACAGTAATAAGCTACCAACCTCGAGTTGATTCAAAAGGTGTGCTCAGCTAAAGATTTTTGAACGGGGTCATCATCCACACCTGCGCCTTAAGTCATCCGCTAACGGTAAAATGAACCTTTCTCATTTATGACCTTGTGCGTCAAAAAAACACATTCGATAACCTATTAATGCGGGTATGAATTCAGCATAACTTTGTCGGTATTTCTATGTACTAGAACAGCTCTCTAATATTAATTTATAATTTATTTATATTTTTATATATATTAGTACTATATATATATTAAATAAATATCTATTATATCAACTAATATCACTCAGGTTTGGTGACATCTCTAAAGA